TTTTTTTTTTTTTTTTTTGGTTCTTGTTCTTGTTCCAGCCGCCCTGTAGGGGGTGGCGGCGCGGAGAACCAGAGCGCCCTGCAGGGCAGTCCTCTTCCTTCCCTCCCCGCCGACCGGAGCGGAGCCCTCGCGGCAGGAGGCAGCGCAGCGGGAGGGGCCGCGTGGCAGCGCCCCTGCTGTAGCCCTGGCCGCCCCCTTTTCTCTCTCTCTCTCCTGCCCACTCCCGCTCCCTTCCCCTCCCCCCTTCCCAGCCGGTCCCCCTGCACCCGCGCTCCGGCCGCGCCGCAGTTTTTTTTGTTTGTTTTTTTTTGCTTGGGGCGGCCAAAAAGCCAGAGCCGGCCCTGGTAGGAGTTTGAAAATAAAAGGGGTATTCAAAGTGAGTATCACATATGGTCAGTGCTTAATTTGTAATGAAAGATGTGCCGGGGCTCAAGCAATTTTTTTACATTCATAACTGATGCAGTGCTAGAGGTGCTGGGGCTATGAACTGCCAAGTCCAGAGGTGCTAGGGCCCAGCCCTAGCAAGCCCTGCCACAAATTAAGCACTGCATATGGTGGAAAGGCTTTCTCAAAGAAGAAAGCTTTGCACCACTTTCTAAAGAGGGTCAGACTTGGAATTCACTGGGTCTCCTCTGGAAGGTTGTCCCAGAGCTGGGTCCCCTTCATAGAGAATGCTTCTCTGAACTCTCATGATTCATCCCGGTCTTAGTGATCTGAATGGTCCTGGAGGAGCGCAGCTGTCATGGGGGTTCACAGATCAAAGTTCGGTCATTGATGTAGCTGGGGCTTGATCCATTCATTGCCTTGAAAATTAGGACCAAGGCCCTAAACTGACATTGGATGCCAACTGGGAGCCAGGGCAGGGAGCTTAGCCCAAGCATGATGTGCTTACGGAAGCCTGAGTCATGGAGAATGGGGGCAGCTACATTCTGTACCAGATGGATGCTGTGAGTCAGTTTCACATTCAGCTTCAGATAAAATGATTTACAGTAATCCAGCTTGAGCCAGCTGCTCTTCAGCCAAGAGTTAATTTCCTGTAGGCAGTCTGACATTTTAGAAGTGGCAGTGGCTGCATCAGTGAATGCCAGAGAATGTCAAATCAAGTTCAAGGTTTCAGTCCTTATCTTCAAGGCCTTAGTGGCCTGGGCCCGGGGTATCTAAAATATCACCTAAAGATCCAGGATACATACAGACTCTGGTCATCAGCTCTTATCTTTGGTACAGTGAAACTTCCTACCATAAGAATTAAGCTCACTTCCAGGAGATGGAGCTTTCCTGGGGGATGGAGACTGTGGCGTGAACTCCAGGAGCTAAGGACCATGACACACCTCACCACCTTCCACTCTAAGGTGAAAGGTGCACTTTGATCTAGTCTTCTCTAGTAAATCCATAGCAATATGTGCATTTAAAAAAAATTCCCCAAATCAAAATGCTCCCCTGCAGCCACACTTCTCTTCCTGGGGGGAGGATGAGAGAATGCATGAACAACACACACGACAGATGTTAATTATGTTGCTGAAGGCATTCAGATACTGTGGTGAATAGGTTCTTCTACTGCGATTATGTAGAATAGTGTAGGTTTGAGAAAAATGTTATGTCCGAGTAAAATTCTTACAGCTGTTTAGTTGGGAAACTCTGTTACTTCCATTCTTTGGTTGGTGAAGGGATGTTACCCTGGTGTCAGAGATGTGCCCTCTGTGGTTCCCATGAAAATTTATCCAAATCTGGGCAAGTTATGAGCTTCTGAAATCTTGGAGTTAGCACATGCTCATTAGACTTATTGGAATTTGGCAGCTAAGTTCTCTGAAGATTTGGTCTGTACTCTGGGCCTTCTCCATCCTCTCACCATTCATATCTGTCATATCGCCACATGTGCCATCCACTCAGAAGGAGCAAGCAGGACATTCCTGGCATTTTTCTCCCCACAGCCACAGGCTGATGTGGTATCAGGCAAAAGAGCTGAGAGCAGGAGCATCCTGCCTGTGCTCCCGCCTACCAGTACCCAGGCAGCATGGAGGAGGAAGCTGCCTGACCCTGATCAAATGATATGTGGTGGACGATGGGCACAGGAACTCAGCAGGGGCAGCAGCTGGGGAGTGGGTGTGGAGGAAGGGAACTGGGGATGTAGTAAGGGGTTTTCTGGGTATCTATCTTGAGATACCTGGGGTCTGATTTGCAGACATGCTGAGTAGTGTCAGCTGCAAATGAGGTCAATGGGAGCTGTGCTCTGGACATATAAAGTGTGTTAAAATGCCAAATGCTCTTAAAAATCAAGCCCTAGGCTTCTCAAATTGGTTTTAAGTTCTGTGCTTCAGTTGCCCAAGTGTAAAATTGGTATAATAAATACCACCTCACAGGGGTGTTGTGAAGATTAAATCATTGATATTTATGAAGAACAAAGATGTGACAAAAACATCATAGAAAACCCCATGAGTAATTAATAGTTCTTTATTTACTGTAGGGTTTGGATGGTGTGCACAGTGACAGATAGGGATAAAAAGTATTGACTAGCTACCCTGTCCATGAGCACCATCCATTCTGTGCACAGAATGAGGCAGGGGTGCTGTGGAAGGAAATAGTCTGTGGCCATGTAAGTAAAGACCGTATCATAATGTATACGGTCACAAGGCCAGGCTTCTCCCCAGCTTCCAAAGGATTCACTGCCACTCCCACAGTCTGAGTCTTTTCATACTTAACCAGTCTACCAGAAAACAATTCCTCAGCTCATCCTTCACATCTCTGGTCTCACTGCCTTCTCTCTCAGGGACTCTGGCAGCCCTGCTGCGCCTGCTTTGTGACTCTCAGCCAGTTCTGTTCTCACAGCCAGTCCTCCCTCACTGGAATTCCCTCTGTAGTCCCAGGTGCTGCCCCACCCTCTTAAGTGACCAAATGCTCTGACACACGGGAGGTGGACTGACCTCAGTTACCGGGGCCGGTTACTCTGTGACCTATACAGTCAAGTAGGCCAAACTAAGGTTGCATATGCAACCGTAACTCTGGCACCTCCTAATTTTTGAGTGCTTGACTTTACAACCTTAACATAGTTTTTTGGCTGGAATGTAGATTTAGGGGGAGAATTTCAGAAGCACAAAGAGCAGTTAGGCACCCAAGACCCATGGGGAGTCATTAGCTGTTAGGCACCTAACTGCCATTTGTGCCTTTGAAACTGACTTGGCTGGCTCTTGAACTGGACCCCCGCCATACAAACTGACAGATTTAAATTGGGGAGTTTCATCTGGTTTTCTGTTGATAATATCGGAGGGTGGGTGATGAAGGGAGGTAGGTTCCCAGTTGAGGTGCTTCTGAAAATCCCACTTTCAGTTTTTGAATCCACTGATTTAAAAAAAATGCATGTGAGAGAGAGAATAAGACCCCCATAATTGAAATGGGTAAGTTTCCTGTACTAAGCACAGAGCTGCAAATTTGCTGCTACTTTCCTGGGAGCAGCTACAGCCTTCAGTATCCACTGGTTTCCTAAGGATCTCATATTAATCTTTGTTCTGCTTTGAATTTTTCTGGCTCTTCATGTTAGCCTGCCTCCGTGGGTTAGCAAGTCTCAACCATATTACACTTCAACAGCAGCATAGTAAGACTTTAATATAGTACCTGTTCTAGATGTACTTAATCTGTATTTGCTATATATGTACCCTAGGTGTTTGTTAAGGAATGTCAGTTCTGGGGAATTGTCAATCTGATTGGAGCTGATGCCCGTAATGCTAACATTCCTTTTGAGAACTCCTGCCAAGTATTGCCAGTACCAAAGTTATTGTCCCTGGATTGCTCCCACTACACTTAGGCCCATTGTTTCTCTTCATACTCCTTTTGTTATGAACATGGCTTTGCTGACAATGTAAATGTGGCTAAACCCTCGCCTTTCTGGGTAGCTGTATCATTTTGAGCTAAGCTATTACGTGGAAGTGACCATTATTGTGATGATGTAATTCTAGTTGTACTGTCACTGGCTCTTTGGTGCATTTTGATGTATCTGTCACGAGTGCACCATGATAATGGACACAGCACTATTAAGTTGTGCAGGGTGGGTTTTTTGGGGGAGGGGGGTAAACTTGGTTTTCTTAGCAAATAAAGTCTGCTTTTTTTTCTTTATAGTCTTAAAGAATATCCTCACCTATAATAAAGAATTCCCCTTTGATGTTCAGCCTGTCCCACTCAGGTAAGGAAAATTGTGGATTTGTACATGTAAAAACTGAATTGGTATGAAAGGCAGCATGGTCTAGTAGTTAGAGCAAAAGAGTGGGCGGCATGAACTCCTTGGATCACATACTTGCCATGTTGCCTTGGTAAGACAATTTTTTTAAAAGCAGCCTCTAATTTTGGGGTACCTAAACTGTAGATGCCCATAGCCTTTTTTCGTGCCTCAGATTTGCTAAACATTCAATGTCACTTGAAATTAGTGGAAAAATCAGGCCCTTGGTATCCAAATTTAGAGTCCACTGAAATTTGGCCCATAATCTCTGTCTGTCTGTCTAATTTGATTGCTAGCTTTGCAGGCTCAATTTGGTTAGTGTGTATAGCATTCAGATGATCAAAAGTACTAAGTGTGTTTTGGGACAATGTGTTTGTTCTGCACTAAACCTGGGGATGGTGACTTTTTTTCCATTGATAAACTTTATTTTAAGACAAGTCACTAGGTTTTGTGTGTTTGTCTTACAGGAAGATTTTAGCACCTGGAGAAGAGGAGAACTTGGAATTTGAGGAAGATGATGAGGAAGGTGGAGCTGGAGCAGGGTCTCCAGATTCTTTTCCTGCTAGAGTTCCAGGTAGGGTGACCAGCTTCATCATCTGAAATATTTCATACACCAAGGAAGGGGCATTAGACTTGTTTAGAAGCTGTTATAAGGGGAAGCCATTTCCAGTCACTCCTGGATCACCTTCAACAGTACTTCTCGAATGGTTAGACACGAAAGCAATAAATATCTCATAGGAATCTTGGACTAGCGGCTGAACCAGATGGAGTTAATCAGTGAGAGCAATATTCCTCCCTTCAGTGAGGAGATGGAAATTATAGCTGGGTATTCTGTCTTGCTTTCATGGTGCATCATTTTGTGTGAGAGACTAGTTTGAATTAAACCATTGTGGGGGTGTTGCTTTCGTTTTGCTATCCAAAGGATAAATCACTATCCATATGAAAGCATGTGGAGCAGTTGAAACATCTACAGGTTCTAGTGAGGACACAGCTTGTTAATTACATTTTTGTCTGCTGAAGATTCATGGGGATAAGAGAGTGGAAAATTAGAATCAGAGGGATGTTGTTCTCCTTATTGTTTCTCATTTCTTCAGAGCAAATTACCAAATTTAAGTTCTGGGAAGGGGGAAAAATTTTGGTACTAGAATTGTAGGCAGCATAATTGGGGCAGGGACTCTCTTCATCTGTGCAGATAGTGCCAAGCATGATAGGTCCCTGATATTGATTTATTTGGGCCTCTGGATGCCACTAGAGTATAAATGATTCATATATGCAACTGCTGATTTTAGTGTAAGTATGAAAGCTTAATGCCAGTGTGCAGACTACACACGACTAGCTTTGTGGTACAGTATATAACGGCAGTTTCTGAATGCTGTTGTCTTGCTGTACATCTGTTATCATGAGAAACTGTAAATATGAGTTCTGTCAGTTTCAAACTGACATCTCCCAGGGTATTGCTTTTGTCTTCCCCTCTGTGTGGCTGTATGTCTGTGTTGTCTTTGTTGTTTGTCACCTCTGACGTTCTATTAATGAGAAGTAACATGAAAAATTGTAGTTGAAGATATCCTTAGTGAATCTAAGGATTAAATTCTACACATAGTAAGGGGACTTCTTTTGTAGTCAAATGATCTTACCTTAGTAAGAAGCAAAATGGCCACAGTGGTTTGGGGTAGAGGGAGATGCTTAAATAAAACAGGATGTCTAACATTCAACACACTGGCTACTTAGAATACTTAAAGTAGGTAAAGAGCTGGAAGGGGCCCTGGGCAACTCGGAGAAATGTGCAACTCTATTGCATTTAGGTCACCCGTTTTGAGTGCTGCCCATATTGGCAGCAGTTGAAAGATACCACCATTTAGTGGGTGATGCTCACTAAGAATTGAGCTGAGGCCTCCAGTTCAATTCACAGGTGTTTCCAGTGCAAAACTACCACAATTAAAAATACACCGATGCCAATGTTAGACACCAAGAATGAACCACAGAGACTGAATTAACATCTCATTCCAAGAGGTGGCATCTTCATTTTAGAGTTGGTGAAGGTACAATGGCAGAGCAGTGTGGAGAAGCTTATACTGGCCTCCCAGTGATGCACCTGTTCTGAGGGTAAATAGACAGAGCTCTGAACCCACCACCTCTCTAGCTCTCTGAACCCACCACCTCTTAAAGAAGCGTTCAGTTCACATGACCAGAACACAGCTCTGTTCTGAAAAGTAATGAGGTACAAATGGTACCTTCTTACTTAGCAGATGTGCTCCCGGGGTGTGGTCACATCTGCTGATTGTTGTTACAGAAATGTGTTTACTGCTTTTGGTCCTCCTTGTGCATCATGAACAGCACTGTTACTAAGCTGCAAACAAATACACCTTTGCAACCTCACTGAAGGCAATGGAGCTGTGCAGGTGCCACTAATTAGGAACTTATAGACCCTTTAGTTCAAGTGATGTGCAAGAAGGGAAGAACCTAGCTTGACATTGAAGCCAAATTGGGTTTGCAGGGTTGACTGTTAGAAGAGACAAATGTTTATTGGTAAACCCAGCACACTAGATGTAAAATCAGAGTGAGATAATACACGTTAGGCCCCACAGAGCCATTCGTACCGAATCACTTTTCAGGATAGGACCACACTTCAAGAGTAGGTAAGGGCACCCTATAAACTTAGTATTAACACATTTAGTTTGTTGCCCAACTTGCAGCATGAATTGCACACCCTGCTTTCACTTAGTTTGAAGTTGTCTTCAAAAAGGAAGTCAGCCTTAATGCAAACAATCTAACAGCCTTGAATTGTCTTGCCACTTGGTACAATCTGGGTTTCTTTTGCCTTCTGTACAGGAATATTTGTGTGGCATGATGTTTGACGATTCGGTGACCTAATTACTTAACTTTGGATGGTGGACAATAAGGCTCAAACTAAAATAAACTATTCACAGAACCTTCTGATCTGAGGCTTATAAATCTAAGCAACAGACTGACCCAGTTGATTCAGTAGGTTACATTGTACTTTCCTCACTTATAGACTTTGCTTCTGTATGCTTTTAATTCACATTAGATTACTATATTGTCTAATTGTCCATGGTCTTGTCTTCTACATGCATGGCTTCATCATGTTAACACATGCTAAACCATTCTAACATCTGCTAACTCAGGAGTCATTGAAGGTATGATAACATTTTAATGTGTATAGTCATTGCTGTGGCATCTTTCATTTATATCTTAATTCCAAGTGTCAAAGTATAATTGTTTTCATAATGAAAGAATTGGGGGCTTCTCTGTGTATAAGTACCCGGTGAGCTGACTTGCAGCTACAGAGAAAAGAAGGATCATGTTTTAGTGTAGCACCTTAGATGGCTCTCTAGAAACTTGCTCGTCTTGATTTCTCTTGCTCTCTGTCTTGCAGGATTGCTGGTTGCATGTATAGCTGGGTTTCTTTCAATGGGGTGCATGCCTAGCTGGCTTTGCATTGCTAACCGGAAATGCTTTGTGACAGAAGTTGGGCTACAGAGTGACCTAGCAAATACACTATTTCATTCTTGCATGTTACCCCAATCTGTTCTATGTCCTGCATGGAAATAAGTAGGGCTCCCTGTTGCTTAGGCTAAAGTGACTGAAGTTTATCTCCTGGGTAGCTTCACTCACTGTTAAAACTAACAGGCCCATTCTGATGTCTAGTCTTCTCCACTAGACCGCAGGTTCTAATTCTTTTCAAAGGTTGCTACCAACTGATTGGTGCCTGTGTGAGATGGATCCAGTAGTCTCAATCCAAATCCTGACTGTCATACATGGTGGCTTGTATGACACGGACATCCATAACTGCCACATTCTTAAGCGGTCTTAGAAGTGCTAGGGATTAAAATGGTAAGGAGACCTGGGCTGCCTTAGAGATCCAGGAGGGGGAGAGGACCATTTGATGGAAGCTTGAATCGCTACTCCTTATCTACCCGATGGGCAAATAAGGGACTTCACACAGTCAATCCGGCGCTCTCCAGGAGCAGTAAATTAACATGGGGAAAAATAAAATTCTTAAAACAAACCCAAGGAAAAGGCCCAAGTCTGCCCCCTTCCTAAAGTGCTTTTTTTTACTTATTAAATATCCCACTGATAACAAAAACCCTCTGTCCTCCCAAGCAATAGCTGGCGAAGAACTTGAAATCACAGGTTTTATATTATGCCCCTGGCCGGATTCCCTGCTCTTTGGAGATGGCTTTGGCATGCCTCCTTCATTTTTGTGTTTGATATAGGATAGGCAGGGCGCATCTACAAGCCCATAGGGAACACAGGAAAGGGCTGGTTGAGGTACAAGTCCTCATTTTAAGCACATGTCTAATAAACTTGGCAGGAAAACTCATGGCAAACCACAGTGCCAGAGAAATGGCTCCGTGTTGAAGCAGGATGTGTCAGCAATTTCCCCCAACATGAAAAGTGCCCGTTTTCATTGATATTGTGGACTATCCAATTCAATCTTTAGTTTTTATTCATCTGTTCCCAACTCTACAGTTAGCAGTCTTTGTCCCATCAACATTAAATGCTGGGGGCCAAAGCCTGTCTTTAGGTATCTGAGTGCAGCTATGACCCACTCTACTGTGAGATGTGGTCCCTTGTGGTGGCTGGTGCATAGAGGCCATGAGTCTATTACAGCTGTCAGCTAAGGCCATAGAGACTCATGCTTCTGTTACTGAAGGTTCTGGGTTCCAACCTTGTTAACGACCCCAATGAGGTGGTGGGAATAGTCATACAACCCCTATAGAAGTCCTGGTTGCTGGGGGTGCAGTTCTATGGGCAGAATATTTGGTCCTTTATTTTGAAGCCTGTCTCTCTGTCATAATATAGTGAAGAAAACTTAAATCTGTGGAGGGGATGACTGACTCCATTTGCCAAGGGAAATTATGTCTTTTCACTTCTGGAGTCATAAAACTTGCAGTCAAAAACAAGGCTTTACATCAGACTTGCTCATGAGTTTACTTTCTCTTACACCGTTTGTGAATCTAGCACCACTAACACCAGATTCGGTCTTAAAACCTCCCAGCTTTCTTTAAAATCAGCCTGGAGGAAATATCCTATAGTTGATTTCAAGGGTATTTGACTTATTGGACAACAGGGGATGAATCACTCGATAATTGCCCTGTTCTGTTCCTTCCCCCTGAAGCACCTGGCATTGGTCATTGTCAGAAGACAGGATACTGGGCTAGATGGACCATTGGTCTGACCCATATTGCCATTCGTATGTTTCTTACATGCTACTGATATCTCAAACTACCAGCTGTGCTACAGTGTACCTCAATGTTCCAGGGATTCTCCTACATTAACATCAGTCTGTGTCTGAGCGTAAGAACATCTTTGATTTTCTTGATGTTTAGTTGGAAATGACTTGGCATCCCCCACATTCTCTCAGTTCTGGCAAATACTTTTTTATACTGCTGCCTTTTGATGTCTAATGCCAATAGATGCTAAACACTCTAGACCAGTGTTTCTCAACCTTTTTGATACCAGGAACCGGCTTGCTGCCTTCCTAAACTGTCAGGGAGATCTCAGGGACCAGCACTTGTCCACAGACTGGTTGTTGAGAAACACTGCTCTAGAAGAACCCTGCGGATCTGGTATTTCTCTTACCTCCCCAGGAGTGGGGTTTATACCAATGGAACATTCCCTTCTCTATTGCTCCCATCTCTTTTACTAGTTGTAAATGATCAGCATGAAGCTGGTGGATGGATGCCTGGACTCCCTGCAACCACAAGTTCTAATCCTAGCAGGGTGATCTCAGCCCTTAAGAGCTATAGAAATGGAATTCTATTGCAATTTACAATGCGTGCATATCCGAGACCTGAAAACCAAAGGTCCTGTCTGCTCTGCTTGACGTTAAAGATCCCACAGCACTTCCTGTAAATAGATGCTTACCCCTATGTCTCTCAATGTTGTTCAATATGTTATGCACTGACTTGCCACTCTTCACTCCAGAGCTGGTGACTGCATTTCTTTGCACCTATAAATGTGTAAACCACTTTGAGATTCGTTGGTGTTAGATGACTCTATGTGTCGTGAGGCTGCAAATCCTGGGCCTTAGGACTAATCCTTATCCCTTCTCATTATCCACTATAGTTTGTGGTGAACAAAGGCTTCCATGAGCAATGACGATGGGGGAAGGACTGAAGTAGGGCCCTAGCTGTAAGAGTCCCAAAGGGTTAATGTTTTGGCTTGCTCTCTGTTGCCAGGTACTTTATTACCCAGGTTGCCGTCGGAACCCGGGATGACGTTACTCACTATCAAAATAGAGAAAATTGGTCTGAAAGATGCTGGGCAGTGCATTGATCCTTATATCACAGTTAGTGTAAAGGGTAAGTATTGCTCTTTCTACTGTGTTCTGACTTCTACTCTCTGTGAAGGGACGTGTGTGTTTTAGGGAAATAGAATCCCTCTTCCCCATACAGGGAAGCACTCTTGTTGGCACTCAGAGCCCCTCTCTCTCTCTCTCTCTCTCTGTGTACAATCATTTTGTGGCTTTACGAGGTGCTATCTTAGTCAAGGATGAGAAGATTCTGATTGTGCTTCTGAGTAGGGTCCTGCATCTCCTGCACTATCCCTCAGCCAAAACAAGTGGATATGAACCTTCCTCCACTCTCTTGATTCCTGTGACTATATTCAACATTCAGACCCCTGCTTCTCTGGATATGTCTACTGTACAATTAGACACCCGTGGCTGGCCCTTGCCAGCTGACTCAGCCTTGCGGGGCTGTTTAATTGCAATGCCGATGTTCAAACTCGGGCTGGGGTCCAGGCTCTAGGACCCTGCAAGGTTGGAGGGTCCCAGAGCTTGGGTTCCAGCCTGAGCTTGAATGACTACACCACAATTAAACAGCCCCTTAGCCTGAGCCCGAGTCAGCTAGCATGGCCAGCCGCGGGTTTTTAAGTGCGGTGTTAGATGTACCCTGTGTCTCTGAGCTTGTCTACATGAACATTTAGTTTGTGGCAAGCTGGGGTGTGAATCTCCCCTCACGTGCCTGCTGCACTCGCTGTGCGTGTCTGTGTGGACCCTGCTGACTTGTGTTAACAGTTCGTTAAGAGTGTTTTGATCTAGTCTTGCCTCAGAGAGAGTACTAGACCAAAGTGCATTAACAAACTGCTAGTGCATGTCAGCGGGGCGCACATGGACACTAGGTCCACGTCAGTCTAGTGCGGCGCAGATTCACACCCCAGCTTGCAGCAAAGTCATTGTTTGTATAGAGAAGCCCTCAGTCTGAAGCCTCTTCCCTCTGATGGAAAACTGGAGCCTGAATCCTGCTGTCTCGGGACCTACACATTCACCCTGCATTTCTCTCAGTGAGACACTGAAGATGCAAAAGGTTTATTTTTAATAATGTTGCTGTGGTTCTTCAGCATTATTTTTAGACTCTTTAATTACACATCATTCCTCGCATCCCTCCCAAGTATTCCTTGTCAGTCATTTGGTTTTTTTTGTTCTGTTCTTTTGCCCCCCAGCTGGCTTAGAAATCTAAATTTGTGGGACCAGGGGTTACAGTTCTTGTTGGAGTCCAACATCTGATCTGGGTCAAGTCAAGCATGAAGGAATGCATTTCATTTTTGGCTATTAGTAAAGTACCAATTTTTAACACCATTCTAATATTGGGTACTGAAATTTCAGAGTTCAAAAGCAAATATCCTATAAACTGCTACGCTGTTCTGTTGTTTGAAATGTGTTAAATTTTCCCTTTGCTAGTTATATATTGTAAAAACACAAATGCTAGTAGCTGCAGGCAGGAGGCAGGGTAGTGTGCGCAAGTGCTATGCAAGCTTTCCCCATACAACCCTGCCCCTCAGTCCTGACCTACAGTACATGTGGTATTCTTCTGAGAAGCAGAAGTTATCAAGCAATGCTGTTATTAAATTGTATGATAGTCTGACTCCGCTTTCCACTTACCTATTAAACTCTTAACTCCCCAGTGGGAGACTGCACAACCTATTTGAAATGAGAAGGGGTGTACTTTAATTCCCCTCCCAAGTTTTTAAAGTGAGTCTACTCAGAAAAGTGACTGTTTTAAATTTTTTTTAAAAAGGCATTCTGAGACCGTGTTCATTGTCTCAGTGACTCCATACCAAACCTGTGTGGGATTTTTTTCTTCTTTTAAACTTACTATCCTTAAAATCTGTCTGGAATCTGAACGTTGGTGGCTAACTCTTCAACCATAATAGTTCTGCCACTATTTGTTAATGTATTTCAGCAGCCCCCAGATGCCTTCATCGGGGTCCAGGTGCTAGGCACTGCCAGACACATGCCCACACAATAAAAAAGACAGCCTCTGCCCCAAAGAGCTCATGATCTTACCATATGCTGAGGCACAACAGATGGATGAAACAAACTGGTGAGGGGAGGAGGGCGGAAGTGGGAGAGGACAAAGTAACAGTCAAACAACCATAAGTAGAATAAGCAGCAATCTTGCTTGTTCTGGCTTATGCTGGAGCAAAACAGTTGTTAATCTGTGCTCGCATAACTGAATCCAGTTCCCTCCCCCATACCTGTGCTAGCTCTAGAGTGCCAATAGGAGTGAAAAGTAGTGAGCACTGTTTCTAGCCAGGAAAGCAAGCATATCTGCATCTGGACATTCAGAGGTAATGGGTTACGACTGTATTTTTCCATAGACTTTTCTCAGAATAGACCTTTAAGCTCTATGTGAAAACTTTCCTCAAAAGGGAATTTGATACTTCACTGGCAAGCATAAAAATCACCCTTTTTGAAAATAAAATTGACTAGTTCTGGCCTGTCGCTAATAGGAAGGTGACAGAGCAGTGACTCTGACATTTCAGGGGGTTCTCTTTGGAACAGAAGAAAGAGGATGCAGTGCTGGTTTTGGAATTTGAACCCAATGAACTGATGATAGGATGTAATAAATATGGATTATGGATAAAATTTGTTAATACTAGGATGGAAAGTGCATGTATGCTAATGATAAAATGACAAGTTATTTTAAAAGATGTTTGACCTTAAAAGGGGCTAATTTTTTATTTCCTCCAGATGTGAATGGGGTAGACCTGACCCCTGTGCAGGATACTCCAGTGGCTTCAAGGAAAGAGGACACTTATGTTCATTTTAATGTGGACATTGACATTCAGAAACATGTTGAAAAACTAACAAAAGGTGGGTAATTTTAGCCTTCTGAAATGGGGTGCATGAATCTTCAGGGCAGTAGTCTTGACACTGCTCCTACTCTGAGGAGGAGCCAGGCAGCTTGGGCCTGGCTGCTCCTCAGAGTAGGAGCAGTGTCAAAACTACTGCCGTGAAGATTCTTGGGGCTCAAGACCCCAGGGTTGTCTGCGTGGCAAGCCTGGGTGTGAATCTACAGTGCAGTAGCAACTTTGCGGACACTGCGACAGCTCACTGCAAGTCCTAGAGTAGTGGCTTGGCATATTTTGCTTTCAAGTAGTACACTCTCTGTTACACTTGTTTGGACCAGTCACACTGTCCTGCTGTGGTTCTGTCATTCATGAGTAATAGAGTGGGGCTACAAGCTCAGGGGAGTAATTCTAACATTTCAAGAAGCATGATTTTTCTTATTGATTCAGGAGATTTAGAGAAATAATAGAAGCCATTGTCTCTGATATATGTAGAACAGGTTATGATGACAGTCATATTTCCATGTCAAGGAATCTGTTTTAGGCAACATTTGACTAGTTTTTCCTCTAACTTCCCCCCCTTTAGGTGCAGCTATTTTCTTTGAATTCAAACACTATAAGCCCAAGAAGAGATTTACCAGCACCAAGTGCTTTGCTTTCATGGAGATGGATGAAATTAAACCTGGGACAATTGTTATAGAACTGTAAGTGGCCTAGCATATAATCTTATATATAGATGATATATAAATATACACAGTAGATTCCAGTGACATGATACAAAGGAACTAATCTAGAGCTTGGTATTGTCTGCTGATGCTTTGTGTTAGATATAGGAAACTGTTTACTGTCAAACTTACCACTTTGTCTCCTCCTGGTTTTCTTGCTACTTTATTCCTATGATCCTGAAAATACAATTACAAACCCCAGCATTTGGTTTGGAAGGAACTTTGAACAGACCAGCATAAAGGTGTCAGGTTATATAGGAGTTCTGCATTTTGATCCTTAACTAAAGTAATCAGATCTGCTACTAAAAAAAACAAACATCTTCCTGACTACCAAGCAGGCCTTCTTTTAGAATGAAACCCCTGTGGCTTGCCACACACTCAAGGGACACGATCAGGTCAAAAATAGCTTTCAAAAACAAATTACGTACTACACTAAGTTGGAATATTAAAACTGAAAATGTTAAACCCCTTCAGAGTTATAGGCTCACTACTTGTACGGTCTTCTGATTGGAAAAAGACAAACCAGCCAGTTTACTTTCATTCTTTAATAGGTATGGATTTCTGACTCTCTTGGTGCCACTATTGTAGTGCTGTAATATGAGTTGCAAACATTGAGGGGCATGACAATTTGTCTCATCTCCTTAACTTTATTTTCTTTCTTATTGCTATTTATCAGCCGGAAGAGAAGGGCTGGGAGTTGTGAGCTGTCAGTTGCAAAATGGCCATTTTGGGGCTGTAGCTATTTGACTCTCCCAAATTTAAAGGGCCAGTCCCAGAAAGGCATGCAGGTAGTCCCAACTACTTTGTCACATGGGGACGTGTTTTAATCCAAAGTAACTTTAGTGGGAAACATCTAATGAAAAAGGCTCCTGATAATAGTAACAATTTTGTAAGATCTGGTGTGTTTGTTTATTTGTTTTTTAAACAAATCTAAATATTGTCAGAATTATACCTGCAGTAACAGGTTGCAAGTGTGTGTGAGGCAAAGCAAGATAACCTGAATGTCTTGCAACTGAATTCTCTTCTACTCAGGCTGGTATGCGTTTGAAAGTTTAACTTGCCATGCCTTGAAAATAATATTCCAAAGAAAAGAAAATGACAGTTTTTCCTGTGTAACCTACTTTTCATTATTGTTCCCTTGTACGAATCCTAAATTCATACCTGAAGCACTTTCACAGATCGTGTCAATGGGGTCTGGGTACTGTTGGAACACAAGCATTTGAGCCTGGGTTTATTCAGATGCATTTAGTCATCCTTAGCATTCGCCTTCAATTTTATTTCTTGTGGTTACAGATACAAAAAACCCACTGACTTTAAAAGGAAGAAACTGCAATTGTTGACCAAGAAACCACTTTATCTTCACCTCCATCAAACATTGCACAAGGAATGACCCTTTTGTGAGACTTCTGTGAACTAAACCACTTGTCACAAATCATGGTAGCTGCGTGTGTAGCACCCCCATCCTTCAACAGGCAGGAAAATGGCTGTACTCATGCCAGTAGGTCAGATGAGACCATCACACACTGCACAGCAATATCACAGGGTCAGAGGTTAAGCCTACCATTCAGGTGCAAGTTTCTTCCAGTACCTTTTGGATACCAGTTTTATCACAAGCGGGCTGAAGTATTTTGTGACAATTTCTCTTCATAATTGAGCTGTTTCTAAAATTTCAATTTTGTAACTTACCTCTTGTTTTTACCCTTGCTTCAAAAACCTTGCTAGAGGGTGGGAAGTGCCCCATTCACCAAGCCTGATGCAGCAAAATGTCGTGGCAGGTTTGCTAGCTTGTTTACTCTTGCTATGCTTGCTATTGCAGTCCCTCACATTTTAGAATCCTTCACTCTGTCTTGTTGGGAGGGTGGGGGAAGGTGATAGAAAAGGGATTTTACAGAAAGAAAGTGTCTGTGAGTGGTTTAAGAAGCAGGAGGATGGTGGTTAGAGAGAGAGAGAGATTCAATCCAAAGTTGAAATGCTGCTCTAGAACATCTTGTCAGCCTGCTCTTTTGTCTTATCTGGCTAAGTGGCAGAGGAACGGAGGGAGGAGTGTTGAGGGTAAAAGGGAAGGTGCTGATGAGACAACCAAATTGTCAATTGTTTATCTCAATCGGATAGTTCCCAGACTTGCAGCATCTAGTGTATCGTGATTTCAGGTAGAACTTGTCTATTATTACAAGTGTTGGAATCCCTTAAAAATCATGAATACTTAAGGGAACAACCTTCTTACATTCTTTTTTCTATACTTTGTATTTCCTACCCACTTTCCCAGACAGTGGTGTACAAAGGGGCATGTGTGGGACAGCTTTGGGGGCCCATCCTACTGCCTTTGCTGTCAGTGGGAGTTTTACCATTGATTTCACAGGTGGTCGGATCGGGCCCTTACTACTCAATGTTTTTGGTGGGGGCTTTATGCTAACAGCTTGGAAGTGCTCTGGCTATCTCAGGCTGTCGACTGAAGACAGACGCCTGCCCATGAAAAACTCTTTTCATAAAATCTGATTGTGGATCTTTGCATACCTCTATTTGTATGCAAGTCTGGAAACTTAGTCTAAAATAACCTGGTTTTTATGTAGGTAGATAGGATTATCATTTATTTTCTATATTATTGAGATGCATAGTGTGTAATAAGCTGCAGGGCATTGGCTTATTATAACATGAATATTTGCATCCACCTTTTAACTTAATAAAGGGACCGAAGTAGAACCCATTCGAACTTTTCATATATTCAATGAGTGGAATATTTAATACAGTTCTTCAAGGTCTGATGTGCTTCATGTGTATCTTAAATAGTGCCTGCATACACACTGCTATGCTAACAAGGACCAGCTCCAGGAGAATGCAGTGTCAAGTGTTAGCTTTTCTAATAGCTTGGACGTAAATGTACCATTAACGCCTTTCTTTCTGCACCATGTAATACTAACGCACTCCAGAACACTGTTTAAAAAAGTGAGGGGAAAGGATTTTTTCACTTTTCACAGCAGTCTGTTTATGGAGTATATCAGGGGTGTTCCTTTCTGCCTCTCGTACAGTGATTTGAAGGGAACTGTAATGGGGATAAAACGAGGCCTTTTGGAAGTTGGAAGCTGAATTTATTCTCCCCTTCTTTCCTCTCCTCTGGCTTAATTGTGGATGAGTTCACCTCCGTGAGCAATTATTTGGCTAATGGCTGAAGAACTGTATTTTCCTGTTAACAGTTCTAAAAGGGACCCAATTACATTATAACCTTTTACAACAATGTCATGCCTGAAACAAACACTAAATATCTTGATTAGTTTTGTTAAAATAAATGTAAATAGAATCGGCCATAGTGTTCCTCCATTGTGTCTGCTGGTGTTGTACAAAGGAAGGAAACATTCATTAAATAAACTGACAATATCTTATAGGTACAAAACCACAATTTTTCACCACTGCAAAAGGTGTAGTGTATGACCTTGATCATCCAAAGCACTTGCTTAAAGTTAAAGTCAGTGGGTCTCTCTGCATGCACCAGTGCTTTGCTGAATAAGGTTCTAGGCCTCATGTAGCCTTTTTAAAGTTCATTCTAAGAGGCTTCCATGTTTTCCGATGTGTACATTTGTCCTACTAAATAAATAAATATTTTGTGGCTATGTACTTGTCTACATATGAAGTACTCAAATACATCTCCATATAAACTGTCCTGTTAGGTGATCATCAGTCAGTAATGGGGAAAGTTAAAACCTACTCGTACCCTCTGTATGTTATACTGACTCCTAGGGATAATCCTTTCAAAGTTAAGAACTATTTAAGATGTTAATTTAGGGGAGTTAAATGAAATGGAATACACTTGCTTTGGGGGGGGAATATAATAGGTTAAACTTTAACTTGAGGGATCTGATTTTCAAAGATGGGTGTCCTTAAAATGCATATGTAATAGATGTATACAATTAACCAGTTACATGTCTACTGGTGAATGTTTATGAGCCAATGTGTACACTAGTGCCTACAAATTAAACATGTTTTCATGTGAAACAGATCCAGTTGTTTTAAACTATCACCCTCGAAGTCCTTCCTTAGCTCTTGAAGTCCCTATTAACTGCAATTGTATGGAATGTCAAGTGCAGTACAGTTTGAAACCTTGTTTGTTTCAATATACAAGTAGAGCTTTGTATTTAACTAATTGTAGATGAATGTTTGTAGAATGTTTTTTAAAGTCCATTCTCTCTACATTTTTTTCATCCTTCATGATCCCTGAAAGACTTTCCCAAGAGTGAAACAGAGGGTGCTGCTTGTATAGCTATGCACAGTGGTGATCTACAATTCTGCTATATCAGTCAGAGCTTGAGTTTAGCTAAAAGGTCATTTCTTATAGTATTTGAATAACCTACCTCCAGTTACAAGTCAAATAAATGGCTGCTTGTATGTGGAAGTAAAGATGTAGTTTCTGAAATTGGCCCTGCACTAGATTTTTTTTGCTATCCCTCTCCCCAAAAGAGAAACTATTCAAAGCTTTATATGCCAGAGGGTTCAACTTTGCTCCCCAGAATGGATCTAGCTTCCCAGAACAGTAGAACCTCAGAATTATGAACACTTCAGGAATGGAGGTTGTTTGTAACTTTAAACAAAAGTTCACAACTGAATATTGACTTAATAAGCTTGGAAACTTTACTATACAGAAGAAAAATGCTGCTTTATTTTTTAGTAGTTTAAGACAATACAGTACTTTTGTCTCTAGTGCTGCCTGATTGTTTACTTCTGGTTCCAAATGAGGTGTGGGGTTGACTGGTCAGTTTAACTCTGAGGTTCTACTATTCATATCTCTATTTTAAGAGTATGAGGATTTCACTTGAGCTATTTCCTATCTTCCCTTGTAGCTGTTTAACCACCTCACCCAAAGCCCAGTAGAGGCTACTGATGCTTGCAGACTAGCACCACTTCAGCCTACAGGAAACTTACTTTTTCCCTCCCAAACCATTTGCCAGGGGGAAATCCTGTAAGCTTAAAATATACCTTCCCTGAAGTTTCATTTTGTAGAGTATAGTTCCATGTGTTTAAACAATTTGCTAAACTCCATGATTACACAAGATAGACTTAGGTGCTTTGTAAAGGGCACTTTACTTACTATTCATAATCTGAATTCAGCCCACTAATTGAAGTTCTAGCCTTTATTATATTTTTGAAACTCCCAGGTAGACCTGTGATGCAACACTGAAGAGCTCAAACTATACAAACTTTGAAATACAGAGTTGTGCTTTTGGGAGTTGTTTTTTTTTTTTTTTTTTTTTAAACAGCATTGGACCCAAACTTCTCTGTACTGCAGTTAGGCTAGCCTGTGACCCATTTGCTTGTCTTTCACTGCAATATATATATATGTCAGTTCAAGGCTGCCTACATGGGCAGAAGTGATGTAAGATCTGATTACAGTTCCATAAAACCCAAGTGACTTACATCTCTTAATCAGGGGTTTGCTAGAGCCTCATCTTAAAAAGGTTGTACAACTGCTTGTATGAGTAGCTCAAGTTTTACACAAGGAGTGTAGAGCATTTAAGGTTACTGTTAACTTCTCACAAGTGGCTTATATTAACTCCAATCACAATGACTAAGTGTCTTTCTAAAGAACCAACTGGCTCAAGTTGCTTCCATGACAGATTCACTTGCATGCTCAAACAAGATCTAGCAAATTGATTTTGCTCTTTATTAGTAGAATTTTCCTTCGAGTACAGGGTAGCTTGTGTTTGATCTTTTTGACCAGACATCTTAAAAAGGTAAATAATTTTACAGTCTTTCTGTAGACCCTTGGTCTACAATAACTGCAGGTTAATATAAGGGAGAAGACAAGTTGGGTAACATTTTACTTACAAAAATATTTCCACAGGAAATGTTTTGATTACATTTTTCATGAAATTTTAAGTCATTCAACAACTGGTTACATAGGCTACATTAATTAAAACCAACCACACAGGTACTTTTGTATTGCACATTTAAAGAGCTGCAGGTAGCCCACAACTGTAAGAAGCAGGCTTCAAGTCCATCATAGCATATGATTTTTGCATCCCCAGTGGATGAGTGTTCTTTAAGGTGATCTCAAATGCACATGGCTAGGGAAATTTGAGGGAAAAGTAATTCTGCAAAAACTAATATACTGAAACCAAACCTAAGAATAAAATTAAAATATGGTTGTCTTTTGAAGCCATTTAAAGTCCTAACTGCATGAAATGTGCTCGAGTCCATTCCACAGAGCTGCCATCCAACAGCTGAAGTTAGGGTTTTTGTTCAGGAGGATGTGTGTAGTCCCTGGGGCCTGCTGGTGACGGTGGACAAGGAGGGGCTGGTGGGTAGTCTCTAGATCCTGGTGGAGGCAAGTCTCTACTTGGAGGAGCGGGATAGTCCCTTAAACCTTGTGGGGGTAGCCGTGGGCCAGGAGGATAATCTCGTGGGCCAAGAGGGCCTCCAGGTCGAAAAGGAGGGGGGAAACATACATATCCTCTTGGATCAGGAGGCGGTAATGAGCCAGGAGGCATGTCTCTCATTCCTAATGGTGGGCCAGGTAAATAGTCTCTTGCAGCTGGAGGTGGTGGCGGAGGACCACGAACTGAAAGGAAAGAGGGGAAAGACTGAGTGATGATGGAAGTGCCACCTACATTGAAGTAGTGACTACACCCATTTAAGGAAAACGATACAGAAGTTTCCCAATGTCAGCCTGTTCACATCCTGGCCCAAAGCATTTCAGCTAAAGAAAGATATGCACCAGTCCGAAAGAGGTGCCCATAGAAACTGCAACCACACACTGAAACGTTCAAGGCCACAAATGCCTGCCGGCGAGATTTTGGGGAGCTAGAGGTTTTTTTTCACATTATTACTACTGTACAATAAACAAAGGAGCCATATTCAATGATGCTCAGCAAAGTGATACCCTGTGAGTTCCTGTATGTCTACATAATTCAAGTGTAGACATTGAGGGCTGGGCTCTTGGACCCTCCCCCGTTAAATTTAATTGCAGTGTAGACATGCCCACAAGGTGTTTAAAAGGAGAGACTCTTACTGCTTCAATAGGATATGTAGGAGCTACTGGAAGTAAAGAGGCATAGCTGAAAAAAGTTAAGTTAAACTCAAGCATAAGGTAATCATACCTAAGGGTAGAGGAAGGGGCCGAGACCCATAGTGCCCACGCAGTGGAGGTGGCAGTGCTCCAAATCGAATTGGAGGTGGCGGAGGTCCGGTCACTGGAGAGGTCATTATGGGTGTCCCAGGAAAAGATGGGGGACCTTTAGGACCTAGGTTCACCTGTTCAAGACGTTGGTTTGAAACTTTAGTGAAGAATATGATTTGTGACAATAGGCAAATATACTGATGCTAAAACACAAGTAAGGGCAAAACAGCCAAAGAGCAGCAAGTTGTCAAACCTTTGCAAAGCATGGAGTGTGCTGCCTTTTGAAGAATCCGGTTTAGGCCACTCAAATGCATACAAATTAAACATACCTTTGGGATGACCGCTCCTATGGTACAGCACAGTCATGACTAACCCCAGCTCCCAGATGCTTACCCCTTTAAAATGCCAATAGGCCCATACAACATTGCTGGATGTTAAATGCTAAAAAACAACCCCTTTCTTCCTGTAGTACGGGTTGAGAGATAATCTAAATCCTTCTGTACTACACATATTTAGATGCAACAAATATCACATTTCATTGGATTACTCTTACAAGTTCTCCTCAAAGATAAATGTTTGCATGCAGTCTTTGACAAAAGCAATAGGGTTTTCATCATATTGCAATAAAAATCAGACATAGTTACGCTAACTGAGCCATCAACAGGAGTAAAGAAACCTTTAAAAACAGAGCACCCATGGTTAGTTTTGCAGAGCATTTAGCTATTCAGCAATTTGAAACACCATGCCCTTGATTCCTCGCCATCAAAGCAAGGAGTGCACCAGCATCATATCCAGCTGCCAAATACTCACTGCTGCTGCTTCAGAAGATGAAGGTGGAACAGTAGATACACACGGGGCTTCAGAGTCTTTGGGAGGGTTTTGCTTTTGTTTTTGGCAGTAAATGACAGACAAGGGATACAGACAAGATAGAACATGATACACAATTAAGAAGAGAAGCAGCAGGTACAGTGGGTCACAAGAAATGCTGCCTAAAGTGTTCTTGTGGCAGAAGAAAAGTTTTCAGCTTACCACTCCATCCATGGATGTGGAAGGTGAGGAGGTTCTTGGCCCACTATTGACCAGGGCTGCTACAGCAGGGCCAAGATCTGTAAGAAAAGCAGAAGTTTCATATGACTTTACTCAGCTTTGGAAGAGGAACCTGGGCCTTCAATTACACATTTCCAGTCAATAAACAGCTTACTGAAGGGGTTGGAGGCTACAGCTCACGTAACTCACCTGGGACAGATGATCTTCCAGACAGCTCAGGTGGCCTCCTTGGAGCTGAAGGGCCATCCACTACCGTACATTAAAAGAAATATAAAACACAGAGCTCAGACACAGACTTGTTAATTCAGCTAGCTACTTCTATAACAAATCCATATCTTCTGTACACTAGCCCCTTCACATCACTAATTGCATACAGGTTCAGTGGCACCACTAGGGGTAGAGAGAGAGAAAACTAAACTTTGGGAGCAGTTTCCTTTTGAACCCTTTGATAGAGACAGAATTTCCCAGCACTATCCCCCTATGAGCCAGCAGTGGAAGTGCAGGAAATCCTTCCTTAGGCAACGGGTTGACACTTCAGCACCTCCAGAAATAAAACTGCATAGATTTCGAAGCATTTTCATAAGGTGTAGTATTTTGGATTACTTGAGTAAGAAATGGATTTATTTTTTTAAACAAGTGAACCCTTACAGTGAAGGTAAGCTCATTACTTAATCTAATGTGGACAGATGCAGTCTCTCCAACCACTCTTTTGCATGTGAAAAATTCAGAGGTGTAAATGCATCTATGTACAAGTATAACTGATGGAATCTCTAGCTGAAACCAAGCTGATTAAAAACAAAAACAAAAAAGTCAAATGCTCTACCAGGCCCCCCCT